CCCCCATCACCCAGCACACCCCACGGTGCTCCTGGCCCAGTGCCACCCCCCACCCTGCCCCTTTCCAGGTGGCATCTTACTTCGGGCACACGGTGGCCGTGGCCGATGTCAACGGGGATGGGTGAGAGCCAGGACTTTGTCCCCCACCCTCAATCCTCCATGGGGGCACCCTGGGGTGCTGCCCCCTGCCTGGTGCACCCCTGGGTGCCATCAGTCCCCAAACCCGGGGACCCTGACCCCCATGCCGGGCGCAGGCAGGACGACGTGCTGGTGGGTGCCCCGCTCTACATGGCCCGGCGCCCCGACGGCCAGCGCAGCGAGGTGGGACGCCTCTACCTCTACCTGGGCGGGGGGCAACGCCCCCTCACCCGGCCCCCCCAGACCCTGACGGGCACCCACCCCTACGGCCGCTTCGCCGCCGCCATCGCCAGCCTCGGGGACCTGGACAAGGACGGCTACGGCGGTAACACCGGCCTGGCACGGGGGAGGGGGGGCTGTGCCAGGGGATGTGCCACCCCCTGCCCCGGTGCCCGGTCTAAAGCATTGGGGAAACTGAGGCAGGAGCACCTGGGCAGGTGGTGGTGCTGGGATGGGGCACCCGGTGGGTGCTCATGTCCCTGTGTCCCCAGACGTGGCCGTGGGTGCCCCGTTGGGGGGTGACGGTGGCAGCGGGCAGGTCTTCATCTTCCGCGGGCAGAGCGAGGGTTTGATGCCGGTGCCCACCCAGCGCCTCGACAGCCCCTTCCCCGGCCCGGCCGCCTTCGGCTTCGCCCTGCGTGGTGCCACCGACCTGGACAGCAACGGCTACCCGGGTACGGCCCCGCCGTGTGGCCACTGCCATGCCACCCCAGTGCCACCCCAGTGCCACCCCGGTGCCACCCACCCCGTCACCGACCCCCTGCTTGTCCCCACAGATCTGCTGGTGGGGGCTTACGGGGCAGCCAAGGTGGCCGTGTACCAGTGAGTGCCCGTCCCACCGGCTCCGGTGGCAGCACGGCCCGGGGGGTCCCTGCCCGGGTCCTTGGCACCTCAGGTCTGTCCCCGTGTCCCAGGGGACAGCCTGTGGTGGTGGCTCGGACCCAGCTGAGTGTCCCCGATGGGCTGAACCCCGAGATCCTGGCATGTGTCCTGCCTGGATCCAGCACCCACGTCAGCTGGTGAGCCATGTGATGGGGACACAGCCATAGGGACACCGCCGTGGGGACACCTCTGTGGGGAGACCACCGGCGTGGGGACATCGCCCCGGGGACGGCAGCAGGTCCCTGAGCACCCCTGGGTGCTGTCCCCTTGCAGCTTCTCCGTGGTGCTGTGCGTCAGCGTGACGGGCCAGCGCATCCCCCAGAGAATCCGTGAGTGCCAGCGTCACTCTGGGGGGACAAGGGGCATCGCTGGGGTGGCACCGCTGCCATGCCCCCCCCCGCCTGCTGTGCCCTGCCAGGCCTCGACGCCGAGCTGCAGCTGGACCGGCTGAAGCCCAAGCTGTCCCGGAGGGTCCTGATGCTGCAGGGCCACCAGTCGTCCTGGCACGACGTGCTGGTGCTGGCCCCAGGGTCACCCCCGCTGTGCCACAACCTCACCGCCTACCTGCGGGTATGGGGATGCTGCCAGCATGGGCTGGCGTGGGTGGGGACAGTGGCATCCCCAGCCAGGATGGGGACAGGGACAGGGACAGTGGCATCCCCAGCCAGGGAGCGTGGGGGACAGGGATGGGGACAGTGGTGTCCCCAGCCAGGGAGGGTGGGGGACAGGGATAGGGACAGTGGCATCCCCAGCCAGGATGGGGACA